TTTTTAGTTTGTAGTTGGACACAATACCTTTATTTTATTTACTTTTATGTGGTGCTGAGGATCGAACCCAGGGCCTTGCACCTGCTAGGTGAGTACTCTAAGGCTGAGTCACAACCCCAGCCCTTGTTTGTTTGTTTTAATATCTAGTCAGACTGTTAATTTCCAGGTGGTTTCCTAAGTAATTAATGATAAATTCCTTCCTGGTGAATTATTTAGCTATTGTGAAATTTAGGTCTGACTGACCAAATTGAAGCCTGCAGATAACAAACTCTTAAGCCACTGAGTCCCATTTTCAATTCTGTAAATATTCCAATGAAATTGACATAGGTACATTAAAACAGGTAAAAAAAATCATAATATAGATTATGATTACATATATTAATCAAATTTATATTATTATATAATTAATCATATTATATAATATGTATTCTATGTTGTATACTCTATTTAAGTTTTTATATGCATTCCATATCTGGGATTATAGGACAAAATAGATTAAACTCATTACAATTTCTACCTCTGAGATTTATGATCTACATTGATGCTACACAGAATCAGAAAATATTAGCTTATAATAAAAAAATTAGATTGGTTCCAAAAATGTTTTAACATATCCTTACATAAAAGATAACAAAATACCTGGAATCCTAACAAGCACAATCCTAGAGGATTTTATAACTTAAAATTAAGTGAATTAAGTTAGCTTTAACATTTAGTTGTGCCATAATGTTATAAGTATATATATGTGTGTGTGTATACATATATGTATATATTTTTTTGCTATTGTTAAAGCACAATATGAAGACAAAGAGCTGCCATTTGGGGAGGTAAATAATGTTCTATCAGCCAATGTTCTTATTTCATGTTTACTTAATTAATGTTTACTAAATCCCTCAAAAATCAAATCAATTTTTCATCATAGGACTTGAGACATATATATTATAGAAAATTATTGAAATAGGTATTTTTCAGATAAGCACGTATTTTCAAAAAATTGTTGCTAAGAAGCTATCAAGGATCTTACTAGCAAGATTAAAATTATAAGTATTTATTTACAAAGTTGTACTAGGTAGAAGATAATACTATAAATATTGGCATTATTCAAAAGTTGCTTTAAAAAACCCAAAAGAGGAACAGACAATAGTTATATTTACACTTTTGTTTTCATAAATAATTGATAAAAATGGAATTACTGACAAATATGATCGCTCTTCCTGAATTCTTCCTGAATTAAAATTTAAAAATTAACTTGCTAAACATTTTATAACCCAGGATTCCTTAACAATTGCATTTAAAGATTGTTAGAATTATTCAAATTATACAAAAATATAATTCAATGCCAAATCAATGCTCGTGTTCAATTAGCCGAGTGAAACGGCTATCTGTATAGTCTACTTGAGGAAAGCTGGGAAGAAATCTTGAATATCTTTGCTTAATGTGGATGAATTGTTTTTCTATACCTCAGCTACATGAAGAGGTGTTGAGTGGCAGTTATCAAGACGCACTCCCTGGAAATAAGTTGCAGTTATTTCGGTATATTTTTTCATATGTGCCCAGAGATAAGGGCAGTCCTCTGGTTTATTTCCATAGCGTAATTTAACACTGTCTCCCCAACAAATGAGTTCTCTTCTTAAATAAACATCTGAACCTGTTAAAAAAGAAGTTTGTTTTCAATGGCTTAAGAAATAGAATAAAAACATTTACTTCAAGGAACTATACCATTTTAAAACTGCATTATTTCTACCATAATGATATATTGGCTAAAATCATATCTAAAATGATATAGGACAAAGTTTTCTATCTTATATATATGTGGCAAAAATTACACCTTATAGTCTCTTCTAAAAGATTGAGCTCAATTTCAAAATTCCAAGTTATTTCCTGAGGAAAAATAGTGATAGTATTATCATAGACTCTTATAACTATAGTTCTACCAAAACATTTTAAGGCTCTGTCTCCAACTTGCTACTCAATTTTGGCAAGAATTTATATTAAATTCATGGCATATAGAAGAATTTCTTTTTTTCGTTTAGAATGGTTAGAAAAGAAAGGGCAGAAATACTTAAGCCCAAGGTCATATTCTTAAATAACAACATATAAGATTTCTGAATCAATTCTAAGGTCACAATAATAAACTACTAATTCTAAACTGTTGAAAAAAATACATATCAAAATGTTTCCTATAAAATGCTTCCTGGCAATAACATGGTTGTTGAAAACAAGATGCTAGAGTAAGTGAGGGGAACCTAAAAAAAAAAATTAAGTTTCTGGTATAACTGCCTTTCAAATACCTTAATACCTCTCTGGCCAGTGGTTGAAAATCTCTCTTATGTAGATGTAATTATAACAGCATTAGTTTCAAAGTTCTACCTCCTTTTCTTCTCTCTCAAACTGGTGAAACAGTTTAAAAACCTCTAGCCTAGTGGGGAAACAAATCAAAAAAACAGATCATATTGAACTTTCTATGAATTTTTTTCCCTATCCATTGAGAAGTCAAAAGTGATGTACCTGGTTCAGCAAAGTTTCGAAGAGGATCATCTCCCATCACCCATCCATTATGTGCCATGAAAAAACAAGCTTTATTTGGAAGGTGAATCATAGATTCTTCTGCAGATAAGGCCATTTCTTCAAATGGGAAAGTAAAATACCTATAGAGATAAAATTAAATATTAAATCCACACAGAGAAACTGCTTGGAGAGAATCTGAATTAGCAACATTAAAAATTAAACTTTCCTCATGAGTATAATAAATAAAATTAGTGTGACACCATTTACAGGAAAAAAACTTCAATATAGGTGAAAAATCAATAAACATTATTTACCTCCCCAAATGGCAGTAAATCTTATAGGATCTGACAAATGGAGTTAACATTGCAGCATATATAATGCTAACATTTTAAGGAATTTTTAAAACCTCTCTTAAAATCACAAGAAAACAATTGAGATATTGATGCTACTTCTCAAAGGCTTTTACTATCTTCTAGTTGCCCAATTTATGTTACATTTTATCTATAAAGTAAAGAACTATGGAGTTGGGGTATAGCTCAATGGTAGATGGCTTGTGGAGCCCCTGGGCCCAATCCCCAGCATTGTCAAAAGTTAAAAAAAAAAAAAAAGAGGAGGAGGAGAAAATAAGGATCTAAATGCTTGCTCAATTTGATTAACACTATATTTATCACTAACTGCTATGGTTTGAGTGTGTCTCCCAAAAGTTCATGTGCTGGAATCTTAATTTCTTAATGTGAGAGTGTTAGAAGATGGGCATTATTTTTAGTACTTGGTCATATGAGTGGAGCCCTCATGAATGAATTAATGCCTTTCTTGTGGGAGGAACTCACACAAGGGACTGGATTAGTTATCAAGAGAGTGGGTTGTTAGAAAGTAAGTCTGCCCCTCCTGCTTTGTCTCTTTCATATGTGTTCACTTGCCCTTCCCCTTCCTATCATGAGTTGAGGCAGCTGGAGGCCCTTACCAGAAGCTGAGTAAATGCTGGTGTCACACTCTTAGACTTCTCAAGTCTCCAAAACCTTGAACAAAACTAAATCTTGCTTCTTTTTTTAATATTTATTTTTTAGTTGTAGTTGGACACACCTTACAACTATTTTATTTATTTATTTTTATGTGGTGTTAAGGATTGAATCCAGGGCCTCACACGTGCTAGACTCTACCACTGAGCCACAACCCCAGCCCCTAAACCTTGTTTCTTATGAATTACCCAACATCAAGTATTTTGTTACCACAACAGAAAACAGACTAAGACACTAAGTATGCACACCTCCAGAAACATTAATGTAAATAACAACAACTATAAATTTGTTCATATGGATGATCATTTTTCTAACTAAAGATTTGCCTAACACAATTAAACCTAATTCCAAATCAAAACTCTCGTAGTTTAAGAAATGTACTGAAGTTGTGCTTTAAAGGAAACATTTAGGTTAATTCACAGTTAAAAACAAATTTTAGTTTTTAATCGTTCACGAAAAGAAAAGAAAATGGAATACCTGGTAACTAAAGGATATCTTCTAGTGACAGGTCCTAGTTTAGGACCATGGCCAGCCAGTCGTTCATAAAACACATTTCCCAAAAGGCAATTAACTGCCTGGAAAATATTAAATTATATTGCATCATCATCAACAATAAAAAAATAGTTTAAAGACTCAAAGAAAAGCAATAAATATAGGTAAAACCTGTTCCTGATGGTAATTCATGAGTTGATGCTTCTCTGAATTCAATTCATCAATTCTATTACGGAACCAATTACAGCATTCTTCAATCGCAGCTGGCCCATCGCTAGAGCAGATAAAGCAATACAAACCTATTTAACGTTTTTTACAAAACTTACATATAAAATTTTTCTAACAAGGGTCATAGAAATCTTAATCATCAGAATCTTATTATGACTGAAAAACTTTTCCAACAGTAAAGACTGTTATATACATGCACAGGAATATGACCTGGCACATATAAAAAACATGAATACATCATGTGCTGAAGTAGAATTATGGTGTCTATTTCATTTCATATGAAGGATTTCAATAAGCTCTTTGAAAATTATACTAGCCATAATGGTTTATAAGTAGTAGTAGTATTTATTTCACAAAGAAAACAAATAACATACTCATGCGGTATAAAAGTCGCTAGTGCAATGTTCATATCCACAGTGCAGCCAAGACGTCTGTATTCAGGATCCTGAATAATCTTCAGATGCTGCTTCGGATCAGACTTGGTTACTCTCCTATTTCCTGAAAGAAGAAAAGATGAGTGTTTAAATGCAAATATTCACAGGGAGATTATAACTGTCACTGATTTTAAATTTTTTTAAATATTTATTTTTTAGTTGTAGTTGTACACAATACCTTTATTTTATCTATTTTTATGTGGTGCTGAGGATCAAACCCAGGGCGTCGCATGTGCTAGGTGAATGCTCTACCACTGAGCCACAACCCCAGCCCCTGATTTCAAATTTTAAATATACAATTATTTCATAGAAAATAAAACAAATATTAATTTCATAACCATCTTCATACCCCTCCATCCTCCTGCTTATCATCTCCATACCACATACCATACACATACACACAGTGGGTGGGGGTAATACACAGAGACAAAAATATCATTATAAAACAAACAAACATAGGGATTGTTATCAGTTCAACTCAAGCCCTACGTTTTTGCTCTCAGTCAATGTCCACTACTACTATTGCTTCTTCTTTTTTAACACTGCTGGGAATCAAATTCAAGGCTTTATGAGTGCCAGGAAATACTCAACTCCTTCAGCCCTACTTATTAAACTTTATGACATCTGGACTTTGGTAGTAGCATTTTCTTCTCAAGTGCTACCAAATAGTCTAACCTCAGGAGTTGTGTTTCCTCAAAGATTGCTTCCAATTCTAAAGTAAATCTTATTAAAAACTTGACTTTCTTTGCTTTCTCTGAAAGAAGTACTTGTGATGGAAGGCGGGAATGAAATGTGGGCACATCTGAGCCAACTCTAAACGGAGGTAGGCCCTTTGGAGAACACTTGGTGCAATTTCAAGGATCTGAGACCATTCCATTGCTTTTGCGGATGTCTGACTCAGAGAGAATTCTGTTATACTGAGGAATTTATTAGGTGAAACAGCCCCAGATTCAAACACAACTCCCGGGAGACGGAGAGAGATACCAGTGCCCCAACTAGTCTTGAGGTGCCAGCTGCCTCTAGGAGGAAGAATTACTGGGCAAGTGGTAAGTCACCAATTAGGCCAACTTCCCCACAGCCTCCTGCTTCTTGTTTTCCTTTGAAGAACCCTTCCTCACAATAAATTCCTTTGGCCTGTTTCTTTATAAATAAAGCATTTGTGGGCTTTTTCCTTTGTTATATACTAGGCTTAATTTTCCATTAATTAATTAATTTGTCCTTGTTTTATTCTAAAGAGACCTTGAAATGGCTTACAAAAACATAAGCAATAAAATAAAACAGATTCTTAAAACCCAGTTCTAAGGTTCATCTGGAAGAGTAAAACTGCTAAAAAATGCTTGAGAAAGAAAAAAACAAATCTATACCAGTAGTATCAATAAATACTTTTTAGTATTGGTAGAATTGAAGGCAGATAAATGGAAAACACAGATAAAAGCCTAAAGTATATTTAGGATATGGCTATACACTAAGAAGTATTATGGTTGTATTTCAAATCAGTGTAAAATTATGGATTATCAATTTAACAACATTTTAAAAATAAAGCTAAATACCTTTTTCATGTGATACACATAAATTGTAGCTTCATAAAATATTTTATTGGAAAATATGAATAATATTATTAGAAAAAACAGTATGTTTATGAAAAGCCTTTTCTAAACATGATGTGAAAAGCCATAAAAGAAAAGACTGACTACATTGAAAATAAACAGCACCATAAGCAATAGTTAAAAGATCAACAGCATACTAAGAGAATATATTTAACACCTATATAATAAGGAACCATCAATAATAATGAATCAATTTGAAAAGGACAAACAGTCCAATAAAAAATGGGAAGAAATACTAACAGACAATTAATGCAAGAAATTAAGTGGCTAATTAACATGTGAAAAGATACTTCATTAACATAAAAAGAAATATCAACTAAGACAAGATATTTAACCATACATACCAAGATGATTTGCCTGATTGAAAAAAGATTTTAAAGATTATTGGTATCACATGTTGGTGAGAGTTTTTCAAAACATGTGAGTAGGTATAATTTTAAAAAAGCAATTTGATGATATCTATTGTATTTGAAATTTGCATATCCTTTGACCTACTTGTTTCACGTATAACAATTTATCCTGTAGATCTACTTATATAGCAAATAAACATACATATACAGGGTATATTTTAGATAGTACTGCTTATAAGAATATAAGTTCCACTAGGGCAAGGTTCTTGCTATGTTTGCCACAGAATTCTCATGCCAGAGTGTCCAGCACACAGTAGGTGGATCAATAAAAATGCATTGAATGAAAGAATTACAAAAAAATTGGGGGAAAAAAAAGCTAGTTAAAGTACTCTTTTTATTTTTAAACATTTGTTTGTCTGTTTGTTTGTTTGTTTATTTATCTATTTTTTATGTGGTGCTGAGAATGGAACCCAGTGCCTCACACGTGCTAGGCAAGCACTCTACCACTGAGCCACAATCCCAACCAGTTAAAGTACGTTAAAACAGTGTATTGCTACTTGGGAGTTAAGAGAAATAACTATAATAAATTCATATTGTCAGCTAATGAACAAATTAAATAGTCCATGCTTTAGTTTAATGTATGTAACATATATACAAATATAAAACGAGTATATATATAGTTTACAGAGAGAATTATGTAAAACCACATGTAAAATCTGAATTTCTTTCAAAAATAATCTGAAAGGAAACACAGAAACTATTACTTGGTAGTTCCCTCAAAGTATGTTTTGTAGGAGGGGAAGTTGCACATTGTATTTTATTATATTTTGAACTATTTGGGGCTTTTTCTCTTTATAATGAGCACACATATTACATATAAATGATACTACTTATAAATATTAAAGGAGAGAGAAATTTTTGGTGAATAAAATATGAAGCAAAATCAGGACTAAAAGTTCCTGTATTAAGGTGTTACATACTTGTAAAAGTTGATGCCTGAATCCAACTGAGTTCTTAAATGTAAAGGCAAACTCATTTCTACTTCAAAGGCAGTATATTTGGGTCCTATTCTAGTTTTGGTCTCTGGACAAGGAAGAAAATTTCCTATTTTAAAAGAACCCCTCCGAGTCCCCAAACATCCTCCCTGCTGGGCTGTCCCATACTACTTGCAGATACTTTCTTCATAATCCTTTCTAATTTGTCTCCTAAAAACCTCAAGTTCTCTTTGAGTATGTTTTTTCCTCTTATTTTGTTAAGGGGACACTGATTAACTAGATTAGTTACATCCTTAACTGAATATTTACTTTTTTACCTTTTATTATTAGCTAATATCTAACTTCAGTATCACTAGTTGTAAGGAGGATGTTTGTGGTGAGCACCATCGGTTGGAAGTCCCTCTTGCATAGTTAAGATTCTTACCTTAGACAGCAGAAGATTCACATTTCTCGATTTCAAAGCCTTGTTCAAGCCTTTCTCAGCTGAAGAAACCTGCTCTACCTAATTCCCATTCATGCTTTTAACAAATATATGCTGAGTTTGACTATATTCTGAGCATTCTGCCAACAATAAAATTAAAATTGGTTTTATTATTAGAGCATGCCCTTTAGATGTTTCAGCTTCCAGAATCAGTTTTCAAATACCAAAAATATTGTATCAAAACAACAGATTTAATGAATATTAACTAAGGAAAAAAAAGGAGTTATCCTTTTAAAAGTAATATTAAATTTCTTAAAATTGATAGGAACAATCTACTGCATCTATTTACCTTGTGTTAGAAGTCTTCTAAATTGTTCAACTGCTTTGTGAACATCTACTTGGAAAAATTCCCAGAGTTGGATCTTTGGAAAAATATCCTCCCAAATTATTTTTCGAATACACTGAAAAATTTTAACAGTTAAAACATATTTTTAAATATTTCACCAAATATTGTTTAACATATTAAAACACTGATTATAAATAATTTTCAGCTATATATTTAATTTGTACTTAAGAAATTTTGTTATTTTGATTTAGTGTGGTATTACTGTATAAATACTTACATTCATGTGTTGATCATTTTCAATCAAAGCAGGTATTCCTTTTTCTTTGTATTTTCCTTCTGCAACATCACAGGAAAAATGCCAGAGTGCTCTGTCTAAGACCCAGGCAGGTTTTAAGTGTGGAGAATTCACAAGATTATATGCAGATTCTGGATGTTCCTGGATCCATTTACTATTAGCAGCTTAAAAAAAATAAAAACAAATAAATTTGAACAAAAGAAAACTCATATCTTATAATTAAATTGAAAATGGTATCTATGTTAGGTTTAAAGATGAAATATCAACATCTACCACCCACTTCCTTCTATATTTAGATATCGATATTTTATACTGATTCTGTTTTATGAAAAAAAAAAAAAACTTTGGTTTTGGTATCTTCTCATACACTTGTTTTTTAACTTAAATATTGCTTAGGAAAATACGAAGGAAAAAAAATTAGTTCTTTCACAAGTAACATCTTTGCACAGCTAATCCAAAAGGGTAAAATATGTTGTTTTTATGAGATTGAGAAATTGCTAATTTAATTTTTTAAATAGACAAAAGTTAGACCCAATTTGTTTTATGTTTACAATGGACTAATGCCCCCTGAATTCATACTGAGGAATACAAGTGGTTAGAAAAATGGAAAGTAATACCTACTGCACACCCAGAATTGTTCTACACAGTTAAATAAACTTTGTTATTCTTCATTTCCTCTCACACAATACAGAACATACTGTTATGTTCCTCTCATAGAGGAGGAACTAAGGCTCAAGGGTTGAGTAATTTGGCCAGAGGAATTAATGTAAGTCTCTCTTCAGAATCTGCAATTGTGACCACTTTGCTGTGCTGATGAGATGACCATGTTTGTGTCTTATTTACTCAGTGAGCTCTCTTACAGAATTTTAGAATCAGTATCATTTTTAGTTTCTGTCTTTTATTTAGTAAGCAATTTAGTTATTATTTATTTATATCCACAATAAATAAACACTTAGGTGAAGTCAGGATATATAAGGAGCAGAGATCATATAATAAAAGTGAAATTAAAGCCCAGCTTGGTGTGCACATCTGTAATCTTAGCTATGTGCGAGGCTGAGGTTATAAGCCAGCATGGGCAACTTAGTGAGACCTTGTCTCAAAATAAAATAAAAAGGGCTGGGGATATAGCTCAGTGGCAGAATAACTTACTTAGAATGCACATGGCCCAAGTACTGCCAAAAAAAAAATAAAGTTAAACTGATAGTTCTCCAAATTGGTACCAAGATACTGCCCCGTAGATTTATCATCACATTCACTGAAATTCAAGTTAAAAAGACAAAATGTAGTCATATTTGTATCCCATTAGGATTTTCACTTACTGGTGATGTAACCTAGTGGTAGAGTCTCATGAGCAAGGCCCTGGGTTTGATTCTGAGGACTGTGCACGTGTGCGTGGGCGCGCGCGCGCACACACACACACACACACACACACAGATATGTATGTTAAGGATAAATGCCAAGGATATCTGATTGTTTTTCTTTTGATATGTTGCCCTAACTGGTCTTGAATTAGTAGGCTCAAATAATCTTTCTGCCTCAGATTCCTAACAGGCTGGCCATCTTCATGTCTGACTCTACCCAATTGTTTTTAAGGGTAAAATCTTAAAACTCTATTTCTTTTCTCAATATTTTGATACAAAATCAAGTGGTAAGTGAAAGAATTCTAAACATTAGGTAGTGTAAGTATTTTTCTAATTTTACATGAAAGAGAAATCCACTCTATAGACTTCTGGAGTGCAGTAGTATAGAACTCAGCAAGTACTATCCCCAGCAAAACAATTGGTGAGAATTATAAAATACAATCGTCTAAAGTCTCTGAAAATTATCCTGTGAACATTTAGCATATGGAGAGCATTTATCTAATGTAAGAACAGCAGTCTCGCAATATGATCAATAGTAACACATATACTAAACCATGCACTTAGAAGGCATAGCTTCCCTTTACCATCTTCTCTGGGTGGGATATGACACAGGAATTGGAGCAGCCATGTTTGATTAAAAGCTGTAAGCAAAGCAATGGAGACAGCAGAGCTACAAGAGAAACAACTTCCTTTCCCTGCACCATTGAGCTAGTACTCTAGTCCTGAAATGCCTACCTAATCTTTTGTAAAATCTACATACAATCTCAATGTTAAGTCACTTTTTCAGTCTCTCTGTTACAGCTACCTAAGCCATATTCTAACTTTTACCATTTGTAACTAATACAATGCCATCACATGATTTGATGAATTTGACATAAATAATATTATAGATGCCTAAGTAATTACCAATACTGTCAATTTTATAAGTAATGAATACTTAGTTGTTAGATTACAATGGCTTCACTGTAGACTTTGAAACCTGGTTTCCAGGCACACAAAGAAACACCGAATGTTAGAATATATCTATTTTTTCAACCTAATTTTGCTGCTATTGTTGGAGATTATCATCTATATTGATGAAATAGATCAATAAATTTTTTAAGTATCTTCATAATTCCTATGTTTACTTGGAAAATACCTCATGAAATTTCTTGAATTTTTGAACCACCCAGAATTCCTGTTCTATACATATGCAAATTAGTGGTTTCCACACTCTTCAACATTGTGGCCCACACAATATTTTGTAAGGTATGATGGGTTAAACTGAATACATGCCCAGAGGCATCATCAGTCCAGACTCAGTTGCTATGACAGGTAAGAGGAATAACTATCTCCTTGAAGATCATCAGTTGAGAAAATTTGGTACATTTTATAGAACTCTATATAGCTAAGGTATCTTGGGAACAAAAATAGTTTTTTTTTGGTGCTGGAGATGATCTAAAGCTCTTTTAATATGTGAAGGATATAACTTCTGAGAGTTTACTGATAATTTTCTCCCCAGTAGTAGAAATCATGTAGTTCTTTTCATACATGCTATAGTACCAGATGTTTTGCTATACAGAATATGTTTGTTTGTCTGGAAAGTATTAATACTCTATGTTGAGATATGATTATTAGGTCCTTTCTATCATGACTCTTTTTATAAACATCACATACAAATTCTGTATTGACTATATCCTCAACTAGCACTGTTTTCTTGGAACAAAAAAAGTGGTACTATATACAGTGATATTTGAAGTTGAAAGACATTATCATCATGTATGTCTATAAAATTTACATTACATAAGGAATGAGGATGTGGCTTGATAGTGAAATGCTTGCCTAACAGTTTTGAAGCCCTGAGTTCAGTTCCCATCACTGAAACAAACTGTTATATAAAATATCGAGGAATGAAATAATCAGAATTTAATATTCTCATCAAAATTAATGAAGTTCATACCAGTATGATTGTAGACAACATCTGTAATACAAAGAATATTCCATTCTTTTTTCAGTTTTTCCACGACCTGTCCAACATCATGCCATGTATACTTTTTATTAGGTCTTGAGAAATCAGGATTTAATTCTAACTGATCAGCAAGGGAGTAGCACGACCTAGATAGTCCAAGTGTCTGCAGTGGGGTGAAATGAATCATGTTGTAACCTGAAAAGCAAGACAACAAAGACCACTGTAAAAAAAAACAAACAAAACCAACCTAAAACTAAGAAAAATATCAATGTAAACTTTCTTAAGTAAAATAGAAAGGCTACCATGCTATTGGAAAAGGAGTCAACGACTTAGGTTCAAATTCTAGCTGTACCAAAAGAGACTTTAAGCAAGTCCACTTATATCTTTCAGAATATCAGTGTCCTCATCTACAAGACCAGGGTAATAAAATAGTGTACTAGAAAAAAAATCACAAAACAGTGCTTAGTTATTATTAGGGATTCAATTTCTATTTGTTGAATAGACATATTTATATACAAAAATATCAGTATATACTCATCTCCTAATTTTAATGTTTCACAGTACTTATAGTACATAGTTATGCCAGTGAACTTTTCATTCCTTTCTTAATCCTACATTTAACTTGAAAATAGAAAATTAATGTTACTCCTATTTTATATAAGAGTAAAATAAGCTTTATCTTATTGTAAGTATTGTTGGCAGCTCATGCCTTCCATGTGGAAAGTCAATATTTATTAATTAAAATTATATAATAATATATTTCCTCTACATTTTAATAGTTTGCTACTGGTTTTATATGTCAAAGCAAAAATCTCAGAAATAACAATGATCACATTTTATCATAGATGTCCTTAAGTTGAACCACATAACTTGACATTTTTATGGATTAAAAAGGGTCAACTTTAAAAATTTTCGTATGGTTCTATTTTCATATGGTTCATATAATTACTAAATATATTAAGAGGTAAAATTAGAAGTAGGAGCAAAACGTCTGAAATCTGTATTTCAGAGGATAATTACATTTATTTTAAAAAAGAAAAGGAAAAGAAACCAAGCTGACATCACCTGACTCTTTTGCAACCCTCAGTCTGTCTTCCCATTCATCCAAAGGTCCTAAACCCTTGGCTAAGAATGTCTGGAGAGTAACACAGTCCAAGGGTAACACGTGATCATCACTGCCAACACGTAAAACAGGGTCCACAACTATGTAACCTCCACCACTTTTCTCATTTCTAAGGAAAAAAAGCAAAATTAAAACTTTCCATTCAATGAGAGGGAAAAAGTGAGATTTTTCTAGTATCTGAATAACTGGAAGGAACTATACTATTTAAAATTATATTATTTCTAACACATACAATAATTTACAAAGTTGCAACAAAACTTAATGGAAAGCAATTTTTTACCCATTCTGCATTATTACACAGTTAATACTACATTGCACAATTACTATATAATTATACCACATACAATATACATAATATCTAATAATGTTGTTTTAATGAAAAACAAATGTACTAGAATTTATCAGAAATAGCCAGCACACTTAAATAAATATCATCCTATAATCAGGTTGTAGGAAAAGACTAGATAATCTCATAGAAATTGAAGAGCCATATTCTATTTGTATCTCAAAAAGCAATGTAAAAATTATACTGCCATGGTTGATAACTTTTTATAAATTACATAACTTCAAGTTTTACAATGAGATGGCATTAGAGCAGATTATGCTAAGTGAAGCTAGCCAATCCCTAAAAAACAAATGCCAAATGTCTTCTTTGATATAAGGAGAGTAACTAAGATCAGAGTAGGGACGAAGAGCAGGAGAAGAAGATTAACATTTAACAGGGATGAGAGGTGGGAGGGAAAGGGAAAGAGAAGGGAAATTGCATGGAAATGGAAGGAGACCCTCAGGGTTATACAGTGGAGGGTGTAGAGAGAGAGGAGGGGAGGGGAGGGGAGAGGTGGGCAGGGGGGAGGGTGGAGGATGGGAAAGGCAGCAGAGCACAACAGATATGTAAATCAATGGATGTGTAACTGATGTGATTCTGCAATCTGTGTATGGGGTGAAGGTGGGAGTTCATAACCCACTTGAATCAAAGTGTGGAATATGATATATCAAGAAATTTGTAATGTTTTGAACAACCAACAATAAAAAATTAATTAAAAGAAAAAGAAAAAAAAGTTTTACAATGAATTAACTTTTTTCCCCATATACAGAACACCTAACTTCACTTACCCTTGAAGGAAGTAATACTGAAATGATCCCGATTGTTGAAGATTAAGTTTACAATATTTATCAGAATCATCTTCTCTTTCTGTCGGATTTTCCCAATCCAAGGAACGGAATTTTTCTCTATTAAATGTTTCTCCAGGAAATGGGTAGTTTGTATACACAGTAACTGCTTTACCCTGCAAAGTTGGGCCTAATCGGAACTGTAGTTCGAACCCTAAATAAAAACCATATTTTAAAAAATTATGTTAAAAATACTGTTTTATTTAAAGAATTATAAAAACTAAGATTCTGATTTAGCTGCATTTTGTTTTACCAAGTATAGTAAACACTGTGGAACCATCTGCTTCACAATGTCCTGTTTCTTTCCCTGTAAACTGATTCCTATTCACATAGTTACTTTAAGATGTGAAAATTCTTACATCCTTATTTATATTGATCTCCTCAATCCCTCACAGCACCCTACCCTCACCCCTAAATTGACTTGTGCAGAGGTGGGCATCTGAGTGAAGATGTTCTCCAATATTTTTCAAACTGCAGCAGAGAAAGTGAGTTTCTCTATGGTGTCAAGAGTATGGGATTGTATATAAAACTTGGGAGGTATACTGGGACATCTATCCTACTCTACAAAGAAAACAAGTCTTCAGTGAAAAAAGTCAAACTCAAAAGAGGCAGAGTTTGAACTTTTCACAATTCTGAAGGCATGTGAGCCCCATATTGATATCTGCTGAAATACAGTCGTATGCTAACAAAGATGTACCAACTGGCTGGGGTGGTGGGAAACACTAACTTGTAGTACTTGTTGACTTCTTTTTTTTTTTTTTTTTATTTATTTATTTAGTTTTCGGCGGACACAACATCTTTGTTTGTATTTGGTGCTGAGGATCGAACCCGGGCCGCACACATGCCAGGCGAGCGCGCTACCACTTGAGCCACATCCCCAGCCCCACTTGTTGACTTCTTGATAAGAACAATTCCACCATGGATAATCTAAAGCTATTGAAGCCACATCATTGAATGTGGAATCAGAAGGGAAGTACACATTGGTTCTTCTGAGTGAGTACATGAACCTCCACATGAACTGCTATCCCTACTCATCATGATTTAGTTATTAAAATCTTTGTTGGAATCCTGACACCCAAGATATTCCCATTCTTTCCCAAGTCATACTATTTCTATTAAACTATACCTGAGACTTGTATTACAAGTACTTATCATTAGAGGCAACAAAAACAAAACCCCATTATAGTTAAAACTTTACTGTTGAAGAGTTTTGGTTGGTTTAAGGAAGGCTTTGAACTTTTGTTACAATTGTTAGAATGTGAAAGTTTTGACTACACTCCAGTCTGTTAGGAATATAAAGCTTCTAAATATGATGTATCTCAATTAATGATAGGCAAAAAAACTGAAGGCAGCAGGAAATTTAGTTAAGTATAATTTTTAATACTTAAGGAATATTTTTGAGAAGATAGGAAATACTAATAGTTATAATGACTGATTTATTAAATAGCCAATAAAATAATAAAACATTAAAGACTGAGCACCCATAGGGAACAAAATAGAAAATTATTCCACCCTTGCAGTGCTGGAGTTCTAGAGAGGAAAGAGCATATTAAACAATGAACTTCACAAATAAATAAGTAAAAGAGGGGACATATATTGAGAAAAAAAGGGGAAATAAGCATTTTAAGGACAATGGAGGAGAGGAAAGATGTTAATGTGGTGGCAGAAATTTTAAATAGAATGGTAACTGAGAAGCTAAAGGGTTTGAGAGAAGTAAGGTAATTGGTCACATCTCTATTATGGCCATCTAAGGAAAGCACTGACTATGCGAAGAAAACAGGACAATAAAACTAGTATTTAAGTATGTGCTGGTTTCAGAAATGACAAGCAGCTTAGTATAGCTGGGTTGGAATAAGGTAAGGGAAAGGAAAAAGAAAAGAAACAGGTAATTAGATCATACAGACCTTCTAGGCCACTGTAAGTATTTTGGCTTCTCTTATCAGAATGAGAACACAAAGAAAAAGTTCTTGAAGGAAATTATTAGTGTTGCTCCCATGAATATGTGAATAAAGGAGGAAAATAGCCTTAATGCTGAATATGGAAAAAGATTTAATGGTCTGAATAGAAGATTAAATGAGCCACAATATTCCCTTCAGCAAAAGCCTAGTCCAGAGCAAGACCCTAACTCTTTTCAATTCTATGAAAGCTAAGGGATGTAAGAAAAGGTTGAAGTTAGCACAGGTTGGCTCATGAGGTTTAAGGAAAGAAGATATCTTCCTAATATAAAAATCAAAGCAGATTCCACGGTGGCAGCTGCAGTATGAAGATCTAACTAAGATTATTGATGAAGATGAAGGTGGCTACATTAAACAGATTTTACATGTAGATGAAACAGTCTTATAGTGCCATCTAGGAGTTTTTCATAGCAACAGAGAAGTCAATGCATGGCTTCAGAGGCAGGCTGACACTCGTTGGAGCTTATGCAACCGGTGAATTTATGTCGAAGTCAGTACTCACCATTCTGAGAATCCTAGGGACCCTAGGAATTACACTATATCTACTTTGACTGTATTCTATAAGTAGAACAGCAAAGCCTGGATGATAGCACATCTGTTTGCAACATGGTTTACCGAATATTTTTAAACCCACTGTTGAGACCTACTGCTCAGAAAAAAAAAAAAAAAAAGTTTCTTTTCAAAATATTACTGCTCATTGACAATGCACCTGGTCATATCAGAGTTCTGATGCAGATGTACAATGAGATTAATGTCTGCATGCCTGTTTAAAAAAGTATTCATTCTGTAGCCCATGGATCAAGGAATAATTCTGACTGTTAAGTACAAATATATGTATGTATTGAGTGGTACTAGGGATTAAACCCAGGGAAGTTCTCTTAGTGATATCCCCAGCCCTTGCTTTTAAATTTCTGTTTTGTTTTGAGGCAGGATCTCACTAAGTTGCTCAAGCTGGCCTCGAACTTGTGATCTACCTCTTGCTTCAGCCAGATGAGTTTCTGGAATTAAAGACATGTATCATTGTGCCCTGGTAAGTCTTTATTATTTAAGAAATACATTTTGTAAGACTAAAGTTGGCATCAATAGTGATGGATCTGGGTAAAGTAAACTGAAAACTTCTCAAAAGGATTTGCCATTCTAGGTGCTTCTAAGAACATTCACGATTCATGGAAAGAGGTCAAAATATCAAGTTTAAAAGGCATTTGAAAAAAATGTAGTTCAATCCTCATGGATGACTCTGAGGGCTTAAGACTTCAGTGATGTAAGTGATTGTAGATGTGATGAAAACAGCAAGATAACTAGAATTATAAGTGGAGCTGAAGATATGGCAGAATTGCTGTAATTTATTTAAAACTTTAATGAATGAATAGTTGTTTTGTATGATGAGCAAAGACAGTAGTTTCTTGAAATGGAAACTATTGGTAGATGCTGTGTACACTGTTGAAATGACACAAAGGATTTAGAATATTCATAAATTTGGTTGATAAAGCAATGGCAGGGTTTGAGAAGACTCACTTCAGTTTTGAAAGAAGGTCTATTGTAGGTAAAATGCTAGGAGTGTCCCATGCTATAGAAAATTTTTGTGAAAGTCGATTGAGATGGCAAAATTCAATGTGACCTTATTTTAAGAAATAGCTATAGCCACTCCAACCTCCAGCAACCATTGTGCTGATCAGTCAGTAGGAATCAACATTGAGAATTGTCATTAAGGCTCAGATGATCATAAGCATATTTTAGTGATAAAATATTTCTTTCCTTTCCCTCCCTTCCTTTCTTTTCCCAATGCTAGAGATCAAATCCAGGGTCCTACACAAGTGAGGCAAGGACTGCATCACTGAGCTATACCTGTAGCCCTAATAAATTATTTCTTAATGAAGGTATGTATATTGTTTTTTAAGACAGAATGCTATTTTATACTCAGTAGACTACAGTATAAGGTACACATAACTTATATACACACTGGGAAACAAAAATACCATATGACTTGCTTTATTGTCTTGGTCTGGAATGGAGCCTGCAATATCTCTGAGGTATGCCTCTATTGTTAGCTTAGAATTCTATACCTGGTAAAAATATCTTTCAAAAACAAAGATTATGAGAATCAGGTTTTTCACTGTCAGAGAGGGTTGTTACAAATAAACAAGGGGGGAAATTTATAGTGAATATTATATTGATATGATTCAGAGGTAACAGTATAAATTGCTGTTTACAGTCAGCTTGGGCCAAGTGTGATGAGAGGATTAGCAACTTGGGAGGCTAAGACAGGAGGATTGCAAGTTTGAGGCTAGGCTCAGCAACCTAGTAGGGCCCTAAGCAATCTAGTAAAAACCTGTCTCAAAATTTTAAAATTGATGGGTTGGGGATATAGCTCAGTTGGTAAAGTGCTTGCCTTGCATGCACAAAGCCCTGGGTTCAATCCCTAGCACTACACACACACACACACAAAAAAAAGAAAAAAAATAGTTAATAGTAATAATAGGGTTGGTGATGTAGCTCAGTGGCAGACGGTTCATCTACCATGCTGGAAGCCCTGGGTTCCATTCCCAGCCCTGAAGAAAGGAAGGAAGGAAGGAAAGAAGGAAAATTAGTATGGTTCAAGGCAAATCCTGACACTAAGAACATGTTGGTATGTTCCTCTCAAGTCTAAAATTATTCTTTTGTAGCAGTAAATTGCCCACATTGATGTTCACCGGGTGGTAAATTTTTCTACAATACTAAATAATGGGAAAGATATTTTCTGTAAAGATTTCAGTAAAACACGATAGAATACCAGACTCTTCGAATTTACTCTAATCCAATCAAATTCTATGACTGCCAAGAGAAATATAGCCTGCTTTCATACTGTAGTATGAATAATGTGAGTAAATAGAAGTTCTAACCATTTCTGAAAAAAGTTAGTGATAAGAACTGTTAATTACATTCCTGAATTGAAATAAAATATGGATATAAATTTATTCATAGTAAATGGTGTTAGTAAATCAAAAACAAATTATCCAAACAGTATTATTAAGTAACTAAACATCCAGAGACTCACTTTTCACATTGTACCATAAAACCAAGAATTTTTTCCCCAAGGAACTACAGAACTACATACACAATTTTTTCTACAAATTAATATAGCACTGATATATTAAGAATTTATATATATTATATATGTGTGTGTATACAAATATATGTGTGTGTATACAAATATATGTGT